AGCCAAAAAGTGAAATAAATTATATTATTGAGGTCCGTTTTCCAGTCCAAAGTTTTGCATGAAATTTAAGCATCAGTAGATATCACTCATAGTAACACCTGCATAAATGTTTAACTTAACAAATCAAAATCTTTTTAAAATATTAGGCAGTTATTTTATTTTATTGTATGTAACTGTTAAATAATGTATATTTATATAAAACTTCAGACTATACATTCTTTTATCAACATATTAGGGTGTGGTAAATACAGTTAGGAGTGTCTGGAATCATGGGAATTACTGAAAGTGCAAAAAAGCTGTACATGTTTTCAGTTTTCCAAGAACTATACATTTATTTTAAAGTTCTTTTAAAATTAAAGTTGCACAGATATTTTAATTTATTTTGTTGTTATGCCATGTAATTATCTTCTGTATGGCATCTATATACGTCAGTTCCCAAGTTTATTTGCTCTGGTACTGCACAAACCCCAGCCATGAATGGAAATGTTAGGAGCTGTATTCAAAACCAAGTAGAGCATGTGATAAAATCCTACTGAGATGTGCAGAGAAGGAAAATACAGCTAAGGCTGCCACTCCTTGGCAAGCACTGCAGCCTGGTATAAAGCTTGCTTCTCTGAGTCAGTGTTTTTCTTTCCCTCTGAACTCTGTGATTGAGAAACTAGTCAGCAGTGCTGCATAAAAAAGCAAGAAATTCTGGAATTTATGCATGAGAATCCAGTGGCAAGAATCTGACAAGTCTAGACTGCTCCATATCACATTGGGGTTGTCCTACATAACTGGGACTTAAATGCTCACTATGTGCTTCAATCTAGATATGAAAATGCTGATTTCTTCTTTTTAGATTTTAAGATGACTAAAACAATGTCAATATGAATTAGAAAACTTTCTCCAGCCCAGATCAGTGAATAAAACAGGGAGGATTTTTAGGTAATGTTGTGGCAAACAGGCTTTAAACAATAAATATCTGGATAATGTAGTAGCAGACGTGCACAAGAAAACTTTGATGAGATATTCAGCAAACGTGAACAAAAAATTTAGCAAATTATAGAGGGATGTGAGAGAATCTTTTTTTCATAAAGCACAGGCATCTATTTGTTCTTCTGTAGTTATTGATTCTATTAGAAAAGATTACCTAGAGGACTTCTGCAATAGGAATGGGACCAGAAAAGCATGATCTGGACTGAGGAGTTTGTTGAACTCAGAATGAAATGCTGGCTATTAAAAAACCAACAAGGACTGTGAGTTAGGCATTGGAAACAGATGCATGTGTTATGTGTTTGTGTAGAGTCATTGCTCCACAACATGACAGATCACTTATTAAATGATAAGTGGTTCAGAGAACTGCTGAAAGAACTCAAGCATCTTCTACATTATGGAATTTCAGGCAGAGCCCATTGAGACTTATTGATCAAGGACTGTTATAACCATAAAGAAATGTTCTCTCTCATGCTAGTAAAATAACAATAATTTAGGTTTATTCCTTTCACAAGTAGAAGTTTCAGTGCTGATTAGTGTGGGCAAGCTAAAATATTTTCATGGTTTTAAATCATCAGTTTTCTATGCCTTTTGAACAGACCCCAAAACCTCAAATAGTTTTACATGGTTCCCACTTTTTATAGAGATCCCAAACATGTGTCTTTTGCAGTGAACAGGAAAGGACACTAATGTTCTCTTCTTAAACATTATCAGGGCACTTTGGTATCTAGTGTGGCACTTTGGTGTCTAGTGTGGCCACTGCAGAGGTACTGTTCATTCAAAGGGGACAGGGAAAACAAAGCCCTTTGGACTGCTGCTACAAGCCAGAAAAAGAAAATGTGATGTCCCTCGTGGCATGGGAGAGGGATGTGGGAGCTGCAAGGAGCCAAGGGGGCAGGCAGTAAATGCCTTGGCTGGTCCCAGGTAGGAAGAGGCAACCCAGGGTGCAAAGAGCCTCCCCCAGCTCGGTGAGCGTTGAGGGTGTGGGAGTGCTCAGCACCACAGCATTCTGCCCAGAAAGCCAAGGAGCAGGAAGATGACAGGGGAGGAAAGTTAGCCTGATGCTTATTTTTAAAGTGATAAAGCTTGCAGTAAACACACAATGTGTTGGAGTGTCCAGTGGCTTCTGACACTTGTTGGATGCTGGTAGTGAGTAGGAGGTTGCCCATCCCAGCCCTGGGAAAGCATTCCTGCACATATGGCTGTTCAGCATGTCACTGAGGGCTGCCTGCCATCACACTTCAAAATTATTAGATCAGAAGTTAGTGCTCCAATGGTATTTAGAGGGGAATTTATCTTTTTTGGTCTAGCAAAAGCTAAAAGGATACAAGGCAGCCATCCAACTTTCAAAAATGCATGAAATTCAGTGGTTTTATAGTGCTTTTAGAAAGGAACGGATTTGAAGCAGAGAAAGCCATTACATATCCCGCAGTTGTGTTCATTCCTCTAAACAATCATTAAAACAGGCCAGGGTGGGGTTTTCTTTAAGGGAATGCTTTAGCTCTTCTGTGTTATTAAGACTACTAATAGAGGCTGCCGCTACTGTCTCCAGGAAAACAAACAAACTTTTTTTTTTTAGTCTTCCCTGAGCTTCTTATAATAAGTGCTGGTGATCAATTAGTTAGTTCATTAAAAAGTTACACATGATTTTATTGAGGCAAGCAATTCTGAATCAAAGAACCCAATTCGCAGATTTAGGTTGAAGCACATAATTGGCATGTATTTTAGAATTGCTGTTAAAGCTGTAAAATAGATTTACTAGGGAAGGAATGGATCCAAAAACCCTAAAGGAAGGAATATGTTATTTGTGTGACTCAGTGTAACAAATGGACTCGTTTAACACTAAAATCTTATCTATATTAAAACAAATATGTGAAATAAATGTAAAGCTTCTTTGATTTAACTTCTTTAGCAAGAAGTTATCCTTCATCTGATAAAGCATAAATTACCTACAGGATTATTGCATTTCTTATGCCATTACTTACATTATTGCTATAAAAGACGTATTTTTATTGAATCATTTAAATTTAGTTGAGAAGTTGCCAATGTGTAAGCTGTTAAATAGAATTATATAAATATGTTCACTATGTTGTTGAGATCCACTGTGACTCTGGAATTTAAGCCCCAGTGCAACAAACAGTTTTGCATGCATGATTTAGTGGGGAGCCTTATACATATGCAAGTAGGACATTGCTGAGCATTTGCAGGGTAAAAGAGAACAAAGTGTGTTATTCAAAGGATGTTTTAGAAACAGTGATACTTTTTTGAGTTTACAAGGAGGCCAAATCTTGAAACTTGAGGAAAAGAGTTTGGGATGAAAAAACATTGTTTTTGAATACTTTGAGAAAGTATGAGGTGACTTTTTGCAAGTTTTCTTTAAGAAAAAGAAAGACAATTTTGAGCTGAGGTGAATAAACAATCAACTCTTAAATATATTAAAATGTGCATAGAAACTAGGTTCTGTTATAATTTGGATTGCTTGACTGCCACAATGTAAAAGCTTTTGTAGCTGGTATTGCTGTTGGACTATGCTGATGGCATTGAGGCATTTTTTTCAACTATTAGCCTTCCCAAGGGATCTTTTCAGACAAAATGTTATGCACCAGCTCTTATTTGAGTGTAAGCCTATTGAATAGCATTCTTCTTTCTGCCAACTTGGCAGCAAGTTCTTGTGCTAATAAAAGAGGTTACCCCAGATAGAGATCCCAGATGTGCCTGAACTACTTTTATTAGGACTATGGAGGACTCAGTGTTTCCTTCTAACTGTTTTAAAAAAGGTGTGGGCTTGCCTTCATAATTACCCAAAGAATTGCATCACTCGAATTTTTTTCCTCAAATTGAAGAAAATTTTAGCTGTGTTAGCACAGAAATACTGATGTTCAAAACAATGAATGCCTTTTGCCGCAATACAAATGTTGACTTGACCTTACTGAATTCTGTGAGAGAGGAGAAAATTGCTATTTAACCTTGAGTTAAAAATGCCTTGATTCATTATCTCATATAAATGAGATCCAGTGTCATGATCAGAATAAGTAACAATTGATGTTTCTCAGAACAGCAGTGTACCTGTGGCAAGTGGTGTACTTGACCATAATGCAAATTATTCCTTGAAACCAGGATTATTATTGTAACCAGGGATAAAACCAGTATAGTGGTTGCCTGATGTAGGGCTGTTTTAGACTGGAATTGCCAACAGCAATATTCTTTTTATTTTTTTTTTGTGCTATTTGGTAATCAGGAGTTTAAAAAGAAGTTATGTTGCTAAAAATTAATCTAAATATCTCCATTCTATTTACTTGAATGTGCCAGCTGCAGTTCTGAAATTGAAAGAAATAGGATCCTCTAACTGAGATACTTAGTAAAATAATATAGTTTGTTAAACTCACTGTTGCTATCCATAAATCATAACAATAAATAGTTTACAATCTTAAATCATAATCTTGATTTTTCTTTCAAGGCCACAGGCTTCATGTTGAAATTTTTATTGTTGTCAAAATCTGAACAGAGAAAATAAGGTTTCAATTAGAATAATTCATTGCTTGGTTTTATTGTTCATCTTATTATTGAATTATGAAAAATGAATGGTGCTCTAATATCTGATCATGTCTCTGCTTGATTTTTGTGGTAATTGTGTCAGATATAAAAATGAGCAACACACGATAGTATTACATTCCACATTTTCAAAAGACTCAAACACTCACATTAGTTTCAGTGGGCTTTGGATCAGGCACAGGGTTAACAGCTTATTTTTCAAACAACTAGAAAGAGGTGTAAATGTCAAAGGTGATAGCTATACTGTGAGTTCCATAAACTACAAAAAAAGTTACTACTAAAGCTCTATTTTTCCTTGGTTTAACAGCTTCTATGAAAACAGTGTTAATAAGTATATCAGGAACAGTATATAATAATGAATCAGAGACATAAAAAAAACCCTTTAAAACTCCTTTTATATAATAATTGGAAAGTTAAAAGTGACTTAAAATCCCTGACTTCTCATGCTGTGATGTAAATTGTATTTTTTTTAGGTTCCAAATTCAAAGAGGGAAAACTGATCCAACCAGTTACAAGAGCCTGGGGGACTGTTTTAGGACTATTTTCCAACGAGAAGGGTAAGAGTATATGTTTTTTAAATTGTCAATTTTATGCAACCTTTCTTAATCACCCATTTTCCAGATATTAGATCTTCTTTATATTCCACTCTTCTTTTTGCAATTGCAAGAATTTGGCAAACACAATCTTACATAACGAGCACAATTTGAAAAGTCTTGATTAGTCTAAATTAGACTCACAATGCCATTTTTTGTTATTATAACCAAAGAGAAAATGCACAGCTTCACTGAGACAGTGGTGCAATCCCTGCTTCAGCACTGGGGCAGGGTGGCTGCATCAGTGTATTGCTGTGTCTTCACTCATCTGTCTTATCCTGGTTTAGTAACTAGCTCGGGCTGAGCGTATCACTTGTTACAAGCTCTGATGAAATGGCATTCCTAGTTACTTGTGGGAGACAATGTTTCCAGGAAATGTGTAAGCAAAATTCCACAGCTTCTCAGTTTGACAGAATATGGAAAAAAAAAAGTATGTTCGTCAGTTGCTTGAATCATACTGGCATCATAAGATACCACTGCTCTAAGCCTGAGCTCTTCTAAGGGAGTTGGGTTCTGATCCAGAAAGGCATTTAAATATAGGCTTAATTTTATGAGCAGTCCAGTTAAAGCCAGTGAATGTAATGGGATCAATCATATGCTTAAAGTTAAGCCTGTTATCCACAGGAGCTCTTTGGAAGCTAGCCTTTAATCAAGGTAACTCTAATTAGTAAAACCCAGCTTTGAGTAGCTGGCAGGATTTCCATAAAGTTTTTTAATACCATAGCAACCCAATTTTTTTTTTTTTTAATCCATATATCACAGCAACAATTTGGTTGGAAAAGACCTCTGGATCATGAGTCCAACCTAAATATTCATCAAAATGGGACTGCTGCTGTATATAGTGGTGCAGATGCTGGGTGTGGAGACAGTATAGGTGCAGTGAGGTGCATTGACTTCTTGCATACACAAGCTGCACTGGAAAAACAGAGGTGAGACGAGCAGTGAAAATTAATAACTAGACGAGTTTTGTTTCTTGCAGTGAGATTTAGCTAAGCTGAACTACCTAAGTACATCCATATAGAACCAGATGGTTTGAAATGAGAAGGGACATACAAAGAAGTTTCATTGAGGTGTTGAAAGAGGAAGTTGTTGCAGCTGCCCTTATTAGTTGCAAATTCCTTTTTGCTGAGAGATTAATGTTGTCTTTTTCCCTACAAAAGACATTAAAAAGCTTAAAAGCTAAAAAGATTCCACACAAATGATAATCTGTGGCTTCTGAGGTTTTCTAGGCTGGGTTTATGCTAACTTGTATTGCTTCTCAAATGAAAACTATTGAGGTATTAATATTCACAATAATGTAGAACTATTTTTAAATAGAAAAATAGTTTCAATATTTAAGTCAGTGAGTATGAAAACAATGTTTATCTCATCCTAATTCTCTAGTATTTTTCATATCTGGAGAAAGGGTCTAAATCAAGAGACACCTTCCAAGGTAATTGATTATTCATTGTTTTTTTCCTATGAAACTCTTGTGCCTCGATACTGGAAATAATCCAGGATATTTTTAATGTCTGTAACAAGTCATGAATCTGTGAGCAGAAAAAAGAAGATGATTACACAAAAATATTCTATATTTAAATCACAGTTTAGCAGTGGATTGCACCAAATTTCTGTTGGGCAAGAGCTAATACAGAGTTTTACTTGCTTGTTTCAAAAGCAGTCAACACTCAATACAGTCAATACAAGCAGTCAAAAAGCAAAAGTCATGAGTACCTGTTTTTCTCCAGGAAGTTAGACAGAGGCAGAAGTTCACATTAAACAGACACCAGTAGGAAACACTGGGGAATAAAATGAGATTAAAAATCTCAGATGAACTATAATGTTAAATTTCAGATAAAAATAAGAAAAATAAATCAGTTAATCCTGAAAAACCTGTATGACTCCATGAGTCTTTCATTCCTGTCTGCACAAGTTGTCTGGTTTTCTGGAGCATGGTGATTACGACAACTGTGAAGGAAGTGAGGGTGGAATGTGAATTATTTTAGTTTGTGGAAACCTTTAATCCTGATAACCCATTCCTTGTGTGGCCACAAAAGTATGCAGAAGAGACCCCCAAGAAAGGGCTTCACATTCAGATACCAAGCAAACAAAATCAGTTATGAGGAGTTCAGACTCAGGTGTGTAAGTCTGTGAGGAGGGTATAAGAAACTCATTTATGCCCCATGTTTATTTCATATTGGCAATATGAAACACCCCCGATGGTGTGTGGCATTTTCTGAAAATATCTAAATATCTAAATCTATAAAGAGTTTAGGCATAAACTAAAGTGAAAAGAACTAAACTAAATGAAAAAGGGTTTAGGCATCTTTCTCCAGTGGTCTGAATTCCTTTTTGGCATCTGTGACTTTACGTTAAATCGACCAAAAAAAATCCTAACTAAATAAAGAAACACAATGGGAAAAGAAGTGTTACTAATGGCCTGTCCCTGAAAATGTTTACATTTGGGAATATTGCTTATGCTGATTTGTACTTACATTTTCAGTAGTAGCACCTAAAGTAAGCCAGAATGTCAAAGCCCAGTTCAGGTGAGGCACTTCATTGTGTCTTAAATTTTTGCCCTTGTTATGTTGGGGTTAAGTATGCAGAGTCAGCCTAGGAATTTTTTATTTTTATGAACTCATATGCAAATGATTCATTTGCTGCAGTGGCTCTTACTGAAAATCAACAAGTACTATGTTACTACAGTATCATTGGAGCAATCTGGTGATTTCATAGAAAGCTCCATCACAAATAACTGCCAAAATTCTTTAACCATCCCTCTGATTTGATCCTCATTACAACTAAAAGGACAGAGGAAGTAATTGTCTAATCACTAACAGAACAATGTCCATTTCAAAGAATCAGAAAACTCCTTCATCTTTACAGAACACTAGAAATCTTTGAACAAAACAAAAAAAACAAACAAACAAAAACCCAACCAAACAAAAGCAAAACAAACAAAAACCAAAAAAACAAAAACAAACAAAAAACCAACAGAAAGTTCTACAAAAACTCCCTTCCCCCAAACTTTGAGTATCTCTGTAATTGGAAATACATTTTCTTCATGGGGAATTAAATTCTTCAAAGGATCCATCCCTTGAACTCTTTTCTTGTCTTACAGGAAAATGGGAGTCACAAAACATAAAATTTAATTGAGACTCACAAAACGAAGGCTCAGTTGAGCAGAGCATTGAAGGTCACATAACTTTCTTTTAAAGGGAGGCAGAACTATTAACTTCAGGGATTTTGTGAACTTGTTTTGGGAGCATCCAGTCACTACCAATTGCACAGGAGCTGCAGTGGTGGGAATCGTCTCAGGTGATGAGCAACCTCTGCTCAGCTGGATTTGCTAGGAGCTGTGCAGCAAAGGTTCTCTGGTTCCACTTATGAGATGATGCATGAATTGACAGATCTTTGACAGTGAGGTAAACCCACCAGGAGCATGTCTGTTTATTGAGGAGTGACAGCTTTATAGCCAACATAAAAATAATCTGATGCTTATTGGGGAAAATGTTTGGATACAGGATTAACTCAAAGCATTAATAGAGAAAACTTTTCATTCTCTGCAGATCCTACAAATAACATGTTAGATTGTGTTAAAAGACTGATCTTTGTACTATCACGATCTTTGCTGCATTTGTACTCACTTACTTTTTTTTGGATAGTGACTTAAGTTGGAATTTGAAATGTAAGAATAAACCAATGTTCTAGCTGAATGTATATGTTGTATCTATATTAAAGACACATGGTGTTGTGTCTCATATTAAGAATGGAAAATTATGCCCATCTGCATTGTCTTAATCTGCAGTTACAGCATTAAAATGATGGATGCTTTTATTTGAAGTCTGTAAACAACTTTGTTCTTATAAACTTGGATTTTCATGGGCTCATAATTTTAACAGTAAATGTTCTGGGTTATAGTTGGGGTTTTTTGGGACACTCAGTCAAGAAATCTCTTAATTTTTCACATTTGTTAACTTGCCTGAAATAGGAAGGGTAGTAGTGTCCTGGATTCCAGTTTTATAATTCAACACTTCAATAAGTTAGAGTTTAAAGTGCTTGTTGGCCTTTCTTAGAGCTAGATGGTCCTGGGAAAGTGCAAAACACAATTCTCATTAATTTGAGACTTCATTACTTCTGCTGAGTTATTTGATTATTTATGTTTAATTTGCTTTGGGATGGAGCAATTACCTCCACATTTACACAGTCCAATAACTTTATAATTATTCCTGTCTTGTTCTCAGCACCACCTTACCTCTCTTGTACCTATAATTGTCTGTATGACCACACACACCTTCTTTTTTAATAAGCAGCACCCTGACTCATACATTAATGGGGTTATAAAGCTGCATAAAACTTGTCAGCTATGGGTGGAGTATGTGGGAGAACAGCCAAGACTAAGCAGGAGCTGGATGAGTGCAGAGTCATCAGCAAACATCCAGAAGCTGGAGGGCTCCTGTTTTATGTGATATCAGCGATGATGCATCAATTAAGGAATTTGCTAGCACTCTCCTTTGTCTTGCCTTCTATGCCATGGCAACAAGTGTTGTAGAGACTGCAGCAGTGCTCTTGAGCCTGGCTCTCCCACCTGGCTTCAGAAGACACTCTGCTGCTGCTAAATGCCAGCAGGTCAGGGAAGGAGACTGGCAGAGCTGGCAGCCATGCAGGCAAGCACCAGTCTCTGGCACTCACCAACATCACCACTGACCATTCCTGCTCCCAAGTAAGGGTTGCACAGCATACAAATAATATCCTTCACCTGAAGCCTTCAATGAAATTTCCAGCCAGGTAGGCATGACATGGTCACTCAGCCAAAAACCCATTTTCCCAGTGTGCATTTATGGAGAAGAGATTAATTTCAACTTACTAGAGGCATAAATTCTTGTGGTATTGAAAGAGCAGACTTAAGGCTCTGCTTTCAGTGTTCTGAGAAAGCAGAAGCTGTAGATTAACATGTTATTTCCCCCCACACACAGAGCTATCTG